TATTTTAGGCTATTCCCAATCCATTTTCTTTTATTATTATTATTATTGGCTAGGGAACGCCCCTCCACACCCCAGATGTGCGTCTTTTGTCCGGGCAGTCGCTAGGCAACGGGAAACCTGACACCTAAACCGCCACCTCTGGCGGACTCCTTGCGTAAGACAGCCATTAGATGCCAACAAAAGGACAGCTACTGCTTTTGTTTGGGAGACTCATTAAATGGAAAATGAGGGGAAAAAAAGCCGTCCGTCTCCCACGCCGGTTTCTTAGGAAAACTGACAGGTATCAGCTGCCATAATTCAGGGTTAGGGCCGCCTCTCTCCTCTCTCTGACGCATTTGGTCGGAATAAACCAACACACGCAGATGGGATTATCAGAGGCTTGCTCCGCAACAAAACGGCGTTTACCAGGCATTTTGATCCTGGTGAGCAGTGAGTCAAAAAAACAAAAAAATCACCAAGACTTCACAGTAGTGGGTATTATTTAATATCTATTGCTTCCCCTGTCCTTCTACATGTCTGAAACAAGGCTCCTCCTTGCACCCCCTCCATCTCTGGCACTTCGGGTGAGCCAGTCACACAGCCCTTGGACAAGTTGGGATTGGTCGGTTTCTTTGTCAGGTGAGAATCTGCAGCGAGTCATGGGACTGAGTGGGGCGGTGCCGCTGTCCGCCTCCCGGGTGCTGAAGTCTAGGCGTGGCCAGAGAGCGTCTGTTCATGACTACTTCCGGTAGGGCGGGACTGGGGTCGCCATCCGAGAGGTGGTTCCATCTGCCACCTGGTGGTTGGATCAGGAAGATGCTGCTGAACAAGTTCAAAAAGTATTTGAGATTGAAAAAAAAAAGCACAAATTGGGACTTTAACCTTCAGAAGATGGTTTTGGGGGACACTTGCCTATTCCCAAAATAAGTAGAGAGGTACAGGATAATGGGGATAGAGATCTGTCTAGTCCTCAAGAAAATAGTTTGCAAATATGCTTGGATTTCTTCATGCATGGCTTCAAAACCATCTTCTGATCAAGCTGGTATTTCAAAAATATATAAGTGTAGACATTTAGGAATATTTTTTAAGCATTTAGAGAAAGTGCTTTACTAAAAGGAGTGTTAAGGGAACTCTGTCTTGTTAGCTAAGCACACTGGAAGAAGCTTCTTTCAGAGACTCCTCTGTTCTTTTCAGAAGATAAGAAGTATGATTAGAGTTAGGAAATGGTAAGAGATAAGAGGAATTCTTGGAAGAAAAGCCTAGTTTCTTTTCCTTTTCTTTCAGGCCTGCAATATAAATTATCAGGAGATTTAAAATATAAAAACGGTAAGGCATACATTTGGTCTATGTGTTTTTGCTCTATTTTACGCAGTGACGATTAAGCGCTGTGAAATATGCATAACCAACTTCAGGTAAGGAATCCTCAAGCTGCTTTGTAGGTAGAGACTAACTAATGAGTTTTAAAAACAATAAGAGGTAATAGCATGCCTCATATAAATGCCATTTTAATTAAATGCCATGGACAGCTGAGTATATATTTTTAGAGGGAATCAAGTCAGGATTGCACCTGATCATTTAACTTATGTGTCTTCCTTGCCAACATCTGCTTTCCCAGTAGCTTAGTACCCCTGTTTCTAGCTTTTGAAACAGGGGTATATAGCCAGAATCTTACAATGTGCTCGTGTGTATGGGGACACAATGAGAAAACAATCCTAGAAACTTGACAGCAAAATTAATCTTTCATTTTCAAACAAATTTACATCTCTCAGAACAGAACTAGATCTATCCAGGAGGTACACTGGCTTTATTTGTCAGTCAACTCAGTTCATTATTTGTATACTTACATTTTCTGTTACTCTTCTATAGATGGTAACACAGAAAATAACTTGTCATTCTTGTTTTATGATTTAAGGCAATTCGTGTTAAGAAAAAATAATTTAAATGAAAGTTTAGTTCCTGGATTTGGAGTTTTTAATGAAATTAGCAATTATGAGATGAGGAAATAGATCCGAGTTTAATAAAGGGAAGAATTATCACTCTAATCTCCATTTAAATTGGAAAGTTTTGAACATTTCAAATTTTGCAGAAAAACACTGAGCCTGTAAAACAAACATGAGCAGGTGGTGAATGCCACCTGCTAAAAATCAGAGTGTAATATAAAGCTGACCTGTAAGTGCTAGTGCTTTATCTCATAGCTTCTTATGTTACTGTGGAAGGAGGAAACATTACACGCATATGCACGTGCTGCACAATTAGAGATTTTGTCATTCAAAGCAACAGGTGGCAGATTAAAAGCAGCTGCTATGAACTCACCTGCCTAAGAAAGACTTTGTTCCCCCAATGTGTTGTGTTGCTGTCACAATAAATGAGAAACCTCAAATTCATGGAAGGACGCAATGTAAGAATAGTATGCTAAACCAGTAGAAAAAAAAAAAGTAAAACTATGGGTGTGACCTCCACCTGCCTCTAAAAACAGACAGATTTGTTAGGCTTAATAGGTGTATCTTCATATGAGAAGGAATCCTAGATATTAATGTATTTACAAAATGGCTCTGGTAATAAATATCACCAATATTAAAGCTCCATGACTACTTAAAGTTTGGAAAAATAATAGAAACAACAAATTAGGACAGGCTGTCATTATTCTAGTTAGAGCATTATTTTCTGAAAGAAGTTAGTTGGAAAAAAAGTTGGTTGGAAATCATAACAAAATTTTTAGCAGAACAATCTTAGAAACATTTCAATATTTGATTTAAAAGTAAGCAAATGAAATAATTTAAATTTTAATATAAAAGTTAAATATTTTATTCTACTTTTATAAACATGGCAGAACACGGTTAAAACAATTTGCCTTGTAATCTTGGGGCTATCAGATAATGATGCCCCAAAGTACAGCTCTGTGTTGAACGCTTTGAACCAGAAGAGGATGAAAAGGGAAGCAAACAAAGTAGCCAAGACTCCAATCAGCACTTCACCATGGGAAATCAGTGTCATAAGCAGTGGCTTAAGCTGGTGCTCCTTAAAGATGGCTGTTGCAATATTTTGCACTTTTGAAAACTGCTGAGTGGATATTAACTGTTCTTGCCATGAAAGGATAACCATGTGAAGTAGTGCATATACTCATTAGCCACATTTAGTTATTATACAGTGTATATATACTTCAAAATAATTTGTTGCTCATGAATAATACACGCAATTTTGTATGTCAATGAAAAAATATTAATGATTCAAAAGCAAAGGAAGGCAATTCTTTTTTTCATTTCTTAAAATTATATTTTTGACAATCTGGGTTCAAGGGTTACAGGAAAGTGGGTAAGACTATTATCTCCACATTGTTTCCTTCATGTATCTGAGGTAAAGGGGGATATTAAGGGAGAAGCCCCACCCAGTCTCCCACCCACCCCAGGACCCTGATGTGGGACACGCTCCCCGGGTCTTGCTCAAGTGGTTTTGATAGTTCAACAGCTATGAATTGCTGCCAATCTCGCCACTCTAAGCATGATGAGGTCGTTGAAGAATCCACTGATTGACATAGTCCATCTTAGAGTCTCCGTTTGCCCAGGTTTTCACTGCCAACATATGGCTGAGGTGGTTGATTGACTTGTTCTGTCCTCTGTTTTTTCATGGTTAGGGTTCTGAGTCTGGCCGTTCAATTGGTGATATCCCCAAAGAAACTTTGAGGTGTTTCCAGACCAGATTCTTGTATGTACTAGCAAATACAGGGCCCGCTTTTGATAATAAACACGAGAAAGTGTTGGAAGGTAAGTTCTAGTTCTTATTCTGCCATCAACTGGGCAAGTGGCTTCATCATTTAAAGTGTTAGTTCACACATCTGTTTAAAAAATGGGGGAGTGAGGAAGGTTGAGCCTCATCCTTTGGAGGGAACTGGAACATTTTATGATCCTCTGATCACAAAGGACACCCTTAAAAGGGTTTCTTCTTTGTTTCCATCATGCCATTTGTAATACTTGTAATAATCTCATTTTATTTCCCTTGAAAAATCAAAAGTTCATCTTTCTTCTCTGCTATCTTGCCTTGAAAGCAAGGCAATAGAGTGATATTGGAGTCAGATAAAATTCAATCAAGTTTCATGTGTAATATTTATTAAGTAAGGAATCTTGGGCTGTGACATAACCTTTCCTGCCTCACATTCCTCATCTTTTAAAAGAGAGAGAATGGCTACCTACTAGAGTTGTTGCAAGGATTAAGTTAGATAATGCATAGAAATCTCCCAACATAGTGTCAGCACATAAAAATCATACCTAATAAATATTACAGCCAGCATAAGTGACAAGTCAGCTATTTGCTAAGTATTTGAGGATACTGGGACTAGGTCTGAATTGGTGCACATTAAGAGGGCAGTTGGGCTTGGAATCCTGTTACTACTACCTACAAGACCTCTGATTCCCAAAGGATAACTAACACCTGCCTGTCCTCTCTCCTTTTCCTTTCCGCCACTTCCTCCATCATCCCCAGCCCTCTCCCACATATATTTGGCTCAATCTCCAGAAGACGCTGCAGGGTCCTTGTGCCTCTTCTTGATCTTTGGGCAGACTGTGCAGATCTTGGGCAGTGTGCAGAGGAAGCTTAAGTGTGTCACTGTTTGCCCATGGCTGCTAAGCTCTGCCGGCTAGCAGATGACTTCAGCCTGTGCAAGCATCTTCATTGGCTTCTCAATTCCCATGGGCATTTTATTCCTGAAATGGAATTAGCAGGAGAGTCAGTTGTTGCTTTGGCAACAAACTTTCAACCCTTAGCTAACGCACCAGAGTGAGAACATTTCTATTAATATGTAAGGTAGACTGGGGAGTTGAGTTACTCAATACACATTTTCTTTCAAGTGCAAAACAGCTTAGGGGCTTGGTTAGCCACAGGGTGTCAGGTGGCACGTGCAGCGGTCTATCCTTTGGGCGCTGGAAGCAGCCCCTGCAGGTGGGGACTGGTTACAAAAAAAGTGAAAGTGTATCCGCAACAGGTGGTGGCGGTTGCCGCTGCTGCGGAGAGCGCGCCTGTGGGAACTGATGGCGGCTGCACGCAGAAAACCTTGGCAAAGCAGGCAAGTGGAGTCTTTCCTCCTATTCCTGTGTGTCTCTGTCGGGGGAGCGACAACCATCCGCTACTCTGTGGCGGAGGAAATGGAGAGCGGTTCTTTTGTGGCCAACGTGGCTAAGGACCTCGGGCTGGAGGTGGGGAAGCTGGCTGCGCGCGGGGCGCGGCTGGTCTCTGAGGGCAACAAGCTACATTTCCGGCTCCACCGCAAGACTGGGGATTTGTTTGTAAAGGAGAAACTGGATCGGGAATCACTTTGTGGCAAAGCTGACCCGTGCGTTCTGCACTTTGAAATCGTCCTGGTGGAGCCGCTGCAGTCCTTCCGTGCCGAGGTCAGGGTGTTTGATATTAACGACAATGCTCCGGTTTTCCTAAACAAGGAGCCCCTCTTAAAGATTCCGGAGAGCACCCCCTTGGGCTCGCGTTTTCCTTTGCAGGGCGCCCAGGATCCGGACGTGGGCCTCAATGGTCTCCAAAACTACACGCTGAGCACCAATGCCTATTTCCACCTGCATACCCGCTTCCGCAGCCACGGGCCTAAGTACGCTGAGCTGGTGCTGAATAAACCCCTGGACAGAGAGGAGCAGCCTGAAGTCAACTTGACCATTACTGCGGTGGACGGCGGGTCCCCGCCCAAAGCCGGATCCGCCCACATTCGTGTGGTGGTGCTGGACGTCAACGACCACGTGCCCCAGTTCTCGCGATTGGTGTATCGCGCTCAGGTCCCCGAGGACAGTGCCCCTGGTTCTGTGGTGGCCATGGTGATGGCTACGGACCTGGACGAGGGCACCAACAAGGAGATAACTTACTCTTTGGCTCAAAACTCAGAGGCCATTCTCCAGACGTTTCAGATTGACCCTCAAAGTGGGGAGGTTCGGCTGCAAGGGCCCCTGGATTTCGAAGCCGTTGAAACCTATGACATCGACGTTCAAGCTACCGATGGAGGAGGTCTCTCTGCCCACAGCAAAGTCCTGGTGGAAGTGGTGGATGTGAACGACAATCCCCCTGAAGTGACCATCTCGTCCGTGTCCAGTCCTCTCCCTGAAGACTCGCCACTCCAGACTGTAGTGGCCCTTTTCACTGTCCGAGACCGCGATGTTCGAGTGGGAGGAAAAATCACCTGCTTCCTCAGAGAAGACCTGCCCTTCGTGGTCAGACCCACGTTCCGAAATTCATACTCGCTGGTCACTGACAGAAGCTTGGACAGGGAGGAGGTCCCCGGCTATAACATCACCCTTGTGGCTATGGACACTGGACCACCCAACCTGTCCTCGGAGACTGTAATAGAGGTGCTGATAGCTGACATTAACGATAACTCCCCAGTGTTTCAGAAGGATTCATATGTCTTGACTGTCCGGGAAAACAACAGCCCCGCGATTTTCATTGGTAAAGTCCATGCTGAGGATCTGGATTTGGGTGAAAATGCCCAAGTGACTTATTCTCTGTTGCCTCCGGAAAGCGGGGATCTATCTGTCTTTGCTTATATCTCCATAAATTCAGATAATGGGAAGCTCTATGCACTTAGAACTATGGATTATGAGGCCATTCAAGACTTTCAGTTTGTAGTAAAGGCCACTGACAGGGGTTTCCTGTCACTGAGTAGCCAAGTCACGGTCAGAGTGGTTGTCCTGGATGATAATGACAATCGCCCAATGATCTTGTACCCACTACAAAATGGGACCTTTCCTTGCAATGACCTAGTGCCCAGGTCTGCAGAGGCTGGCTATTTGGTGACCAAAGTAGTGGCTGTGGATGGAGACTCGGGTCAGAATTCTTGGCTTTCATATCAGCTACTTAAAGCTACTGATCTTGGTTTGTTCTCGGTCCAACGTCAAAATGGGGAAATTCGTACATTGAGGCAGATATCTGAGAGAGACCCCATGATGCAAAAACTGACCATTCTTGTTCAGGATCATGGCCAGCCAGCTCTCTCCACTACTGCCTCACTCAACATCCTACTGGTAGATGGCTTTTCAGAGCCCTACCTGCAGTTCCAGGATTCATCCACACATTCCAGAAAGGTAAATCCATCCACTAAATATTTGGTCATATCTCTGGCTGGGCTTTCCTTTCTCTTTCTCCTCTCTGTCACTGTGATCTTTATTGTACACATTTGTCAGAAGATTAGAGAAAGGTTTACTGTTCAAGAGCATTTTTATGATGATTGTAATTTCCCTAACAACCCAGTACAAGGAGGTGGCAATGTATCTTTATCCCAACCTCATCATTATGACATGTGTTCAGTCACTGGTACTGGCAACAGTGAGTTCAGATTTCTCAAGCGCTTTATGCCCAACTTCCCTTTCCCCCATCCTGCAGGAGAGGTAAAAACAGGGACTGACTGCACTTTGCCTCCTGGTTCTAGTAGAAATAGATCCCAGGGGCCAGAAAGCCATACCCAGGTGTCTGATGACTATATGTAGTTCATTGGAATAGTCCTTCAGTGATAGAAGAGAAATATACAATTGTATACCTGGCATGCAAAGGTCTCTCCTCCTCATGGAAATAATAGTGATTGCAGATGGTAACTCTAGAGGGATGCCTAGTTTGGTGAAAGTGAGACATCTACATTGAAGTGTGGCTTACTTAGTTTAAAACGGTGATTCTGGTCCCCAGATAATACACCTGCCTTTGGAATTCTGTTTAAAGAAATACCACAATCTTCAAGGGATCTTCAAAATATTCGTGGAAAATGTGCATTTTCTTTTAATTCTATTTTCCATGAGATTTTTGGAAGCCACCCACATAATACTTGTATGGTACAAACCTTTGCTTTTCCAATTCATCCATGATAGGCAAGGAGTGAATGAGTCATTTTTCTCACATCTGCTGAAACTCATGGGACCTGGAACAGGAAATGTTGAGTTCTGTAGAGATATGCTATAGCATTTTTAATCTTTAAATCCTATTTAGAAAGTAAATAGCTTTAGCTTCCATCTTTGATATATCAGGTAGCTATTAAGTTTAACAAGCAAGGGCATAATTTTTAATTCTGAAATTTCTCAATTGTTCTCCCTGATGAGTGGAGGTTATCTTTGAATCAATATTATGCATGCCATCTTTCATAATCATGGCAATATCTAGTGACTGTTGATCCTCACAGATAATTATGATGGTCGGAGGGTAAAGAAAAATGGATTTAGCTTAGTTGCAAATGTAAGGGGATGGACATGAAGCTCAAGAGATTAAATTTAGGAATAATCTCCAGAATTAAGTTGGATATAGACTGTATTATCAGTTGAAGCCTTAGGCTAGTCTCAAATATTTTTCATATCTAGATGTCTACTTGCTTTATCAATTTTTTGAGCATGGGAAATGAAGATTAGATCAGAATAAACATAATTTAGGTCTGCAGTGGATAATATGTGCTATAGAACACTTATTATATTTTTATTTGTAGTACAATTACCAAAAATAATAATAAAAACAGAAAATTCATTGATATCAATTACATGGCCTTAATTTATACTTTCAGATTTGATGGCAAACCATTCTCCTCCCTGAGTATCTTACAATAATGAGTGGGAAGCAAAAAAATAAAACCAACTATTTCCAGTAAATCATAGGGAAACAAGTGTCTTTTTTAAATTATTTATTTTTAAAAGCAAATTGAGACAGAGAGCCAGAACCAGAGAGAGAGAGAGAAAAGAGAGAGAGAGAGAGAGAGAGAGAGACTTCCACCCATTGGTTCAATCCCCAAATTTCTGCCTTGCCCAGAACCAGGAGTCAGGAATCCAATCCTGCCTCCCAGAGTGACAGGGGCTTAACCACTTGGATCATCACCTTCTGCCTCCCCAGATACAGTAGTAGGAAGCTGGAACCCGGAGTGGAGCCAGAACTGGAACCCAGGCACACTGATATGGGATGTGCCTGTGACCAAGCTTCCCTTAATGTGAACATTACATAAAACTGGAATACAATTATCAAAGTTAAGAAATTAACTTTGGTACAATTCTATGAACTAAATCATGGACTTGTTCAGATTTCACTAGTTTTTCTCCCAATATCTTTTGTCTGTTCCAGGACCCAACCTAAGATTCTGAAGTGCATTTAGTTGTTATGTCTCTTTATTCTCTACCATCTGTGATAGTTTTAGTCATCTTCAGTTCTTCATGATTGAGGCTTTTTGAAGAGTAATTAGCTATAGGATGTCCTTTATTAAACTGTTGTTATTTTATCATGATTAGATGGAGGTTATGCTTTATAGAGAACATACAGATATATTGCTATGTCTTTCTCGATATGCATCATATCAGCAGGAATATAATGTTAATATGTCCTAATCTTAGTGGTACATATTTTTATTATAGTAAGAAAAAATGAAAACACACACAATGGGCTAGCGCAGTGGCACATCAGGCTATTCCACCTTTTGGCTCTGGCAGCCTATATAGTTGCTGGTTCGTGTCTCAGCTGCTCCACTTGTAATCCAGCTCCCTGATTATGTCCTGGGAAAGCAGCAGAGGATAGCAAAGCCTTGTGACCCTGCACCCAACTGGAAGATCTGGAGAAAGCTCCTGGCTTGTGGCTTTGGACAAGCTTAGCTCTGGCATTGTGATCATCTGTATGGTGAACCAGTGGATGGAAGATAGCTCTCTGTGTGTCTCACCTTTTCTCTGCCTTTTAAATAAATCTTGAAGAGAAAAAGCTCATAAGATTTGTCACATAAACAATTTTAAGTGTGCATAGTTCAGTAGTGTTAAAGTGATATTAATCTTGATCACTTGGTTAAGATAATGTCTACCAAGTTTCTCCCTTGTGAAATTACTATTTTCTCTTTGTATTTGATGAATACTTGGGGAAAGATACTCAGAAACTAAGCAAACTAAGCAAACTGATGTTTGCATCCATTGCTGGATATTTCCTGTGGCAATTAATACCATAGCAATTTAATGGCAATTTTCTGTTTCTCTGATTCCTTTTGCAATTAATTAAAATTATTTTGTAAGAAAAACTTGCCATGTCTCTCTCCATGTATTTAGTTACTTCTTCATATGTAGACTCATGAATATTTACTTTAGTATTTGGGTTATAATCCAATGATATTACTATTTATTTGGTTACTCAGCAAGCCCTTTTATGTAAGATGAAGAGCAGATTTTGAAGCCTAAAACTGTCCAAAAGTAACACATTTTTATTATTTTATACGTAAATTACACTAACAGGATTTAAAATGTTAACTACAGCTAAAAGATTATTAAATAGATGTTATACTATAAAATTTAAGATGTATTATATAGATATGCTTATATATTTGTAAATTATTTAAGGTTGATATGCTGAAATTAGAATATAGATATATAATTAATGAAAATGTTATATCTGATTTTGTGTAACTCTCCTAAGCATAAATAAATGTATTATTTCAACATGTCTATGTATTTTTTGTTCTGATTTAAAAATGAAAAGATCCAATTGCTAGAAGCAGAATTTACCCATGTAATTCTCCCATATAAATGTCTATTTTCTGTTGAGTTAAACGTCTTCAAAGTACATATCTAATTGGACACCTGACTTTCAACTATAAGTTTGATTTCATTTCTAAATCCATGTGATACTTTTTAAAAATCATATCAGAATTTTGGTTGAGTTTCTGTAACATTGAGGCAGAATATTAAAAGGTAATAATGTCTGCTTAGACTGAGGAAGTAAGTTTATACTTTTGTGTACTATGTTTTAAGCACAGAAATGAAAGATAAAAATTAGGAATAGAAACTTAAATGATGCAAAATCATAAATTTAACATGGTGAGTAGAGATGAAAACCTTGGACCTTTGAGTTATGGGGTGGGAAGCTGGTACTCGCTGCAATTAGTTTGATTCTCTTGGGAAAACAGAAACAAAACATTTTATCAAAGGAGAATAAAAACCAGGCTCCCTACTTAGAAGCAGAAGTTAGGATGAACCTGTTTTGTTCATAAGAGATGACTGAGAGGCCATCCCCTAAAGATTTCTGAAACTTGGGTGAGCATAATGGTGCAGTGAGTTAAGATGAAGCTGGAGACATCCATGTCCCATGTTGGAGTGCTAGCTGAAGTCCTGGCTGCTCCACTTCCAATTCAGACCCCTGCTCAATGTGCCAGGGAAGTAGCTCAAGATAATAGCGCAAGTGCCTGAATCTCTGATACCCAAAACAGATCTCCTGGCTTCTTGCTCCTGCCTGGTCTAGTGCCAGCTGTTGTGCTCATTTGGAGAGTGAACTAGCAGATGGAAGTCAACCTCTCCATCTGCCTTTCCCTCCCTTCCATCATCCCTCTTTGCTTTCCCCTACCTTCCGTCACTTTGTCTTCAAAATAATAAATACATAAACAAATTTATTTTAAATTTCACAAGCTGTAATCACAGTGCGTTGCAGGCCTGCAAAGGCTAGAGCACTGTGGATGACAGGCTCAATGAAGTAACGCATATTATTTCTGGTGTCATATTGGGCCAAAATCACTACTGAGAAACCTGATTATAGACCATGTCAATGTGGCCTGGGAGATGAAGGAAAAATAACACAACATTTTTTGAAGGTATCACTTAAAACTGTTTAGGATACTTTCAGAGATGAATTAAGGAACTGTTCATACAAGAGCAGAAAGTCATAAAAGTATCAAAAATTAAACTAAAGCAGATGGATACAGTTAATTGGAAATTTCAAAAAAAATATATTTATTAGAGAGAAAGCACCCATCCTCTGGCTTGTCCATAATGGCCAGGGAGCAGAAACTGAGAGCCAAAAGTTTGGTTCTGATCTGTGTGATTAGCAGGCATCCAGCTACTTGATGCATCATCCTGCTTGCAGGGTCTGTACTAGCAAGATGCTGGAATAAGGAGACAGAGCTGAATGTTGAACCCAGGTACTCCAACATGAAAATTGGGTGTCCTAGCCAGTGTCTTACTCAGTAGGCCAAACACCCTCCCTGCCAACTAGAAGTTTCAGAACTGAAACACAGACTTTGTAATAAAACTTCAGCAGATGGCATAAAGGCTAGAAAGGCTCAAAGGCTGAGGGTTACATATAGCTATGGGGTCATAACATCTGGAAATGACTTTCCTCATGTTTGAGGCAGGCCAGTAACCAAAAATATCTTTGGAGCCTGGCTTCCTTTATAATGTGGTGGCTAGGATCCAAGAGCAAATATTGTGTTCACTATTTTTTTATTTTTATTTTTGAAATTTATCATACAATTCTACAGATAGTCTGGGATTCCCTTCGCCCCAATTTCCACCCCCTGACTGATTTTCCCATAATGTCACAACTCTTCATAAGGAGTTATAATTCCATCAGTCTGCTATTTAAGTGTCACTATTTTTTTTTAAGTCACGCAGATCAGATTCAAGAGAAGAGGACATAGATCCCAATTATTCTTTTTTTAAAAGATAGACTTGTGTGTATCAGGAAATTCACTCTACTGTGCATCTTATTTCTTCTGCATGAA